CATAGCCATTCCAAACACTCACAATGTACAAAACACATGCACTGAAAAAATTAGCAAGTACACAGAACTTGCCCAGGAAATAAGGCATCTATGGAGGATGGATAGGGTAGTTATTGTACCTGTTGTTCTTTCCTGTACAGGTGTGATACCACACACACTACACAAAAGCCTGGGAACATTAGAATTGAGTAGAAATACATACATAACACTACAGAAGGCCACTATATTGAATACATGCCACATTGTTAGGAAATTCCTGAATACAGACACTGACACACATTTAATTTTAGTTTTGTTTTGGTTGCTATGCCTTGACTTTCATCCGGCATAGTACACAGCCACCGGTTTAAACCGAGTATTACCCACTAAACCCAACATAATAATAAAATTTTTATTATAATTATAATACCACGTATTTTAATAGATTTTAAAAAATTAATTTGAAATTCCCTTTGGTCAATATATAGAAAAACAGAGAGCCTTTCGATAAAGCATTAATTTCATTTGTAATGTTTATGATCTTTTGTAATAATAATAAAATTTAAATACTAAAAAAGTATTAAAAACAGATTGCAGAGATGTGTTTAATTTCAAAGTATAAAAGGTATTAATGAAGAAAATTTTAAAGTCAAATCAACATACCTTTCAAGAATTATCTGCCTCAAAATTAAAAAAAAAAATGTAAATTTTTCCTTAATTTTTTAGGTAATTATTAATGTAACAAATTTTTTACTTAAATTTTGTCTTTGTTTATTTTTTTATTTAAAAACTTTATATCAATACTATACTAAAAATAATTAACCAATTGATTATTATTCCTTGTCCTCTCATTATCTCAAGAACACTATTAATGTTGCAACTAAATGAAAAATAAATTGCATAAACTATCTAGAAACACAAAAAGCTTTAATTGTAATAAATGTTTTTGGAACCTTAAAGTACTTTAAATCCAGGATTCTAGAAAGTATGAAGCAATTGATTTTCTGTTTGGTTTCCTTTCATATTTAACCAATTAATACCATTTTGCATCATCCAGACAACATAACTTTTGGTAAACTGTACATGCATTATTTTTTTATGCATCATTATTATGTTATTTATTACTGTAGGAAGTGTAAGAAACATTATATAGATCAGACACGAGCAAATGTGGCTCCTTTTGAGTTACATGAGGTTCTTGCTGAAAGTGTTAATTTCTGCTTTTTATTATTATTTTTACAATTTTATTTCCACAATTTTGAGAAAATATGTTTATTAAAAAAATTCAATATTTGTTTTATATTATATTTATATTATATAATAAAATTGCAGTACAGAACTGCGATACAGAATAAAAAAGTACAGAACTGCAGCTCNTATTATTATTTTTACAATTTTATTTCCACAATTTTGAGAAAATATGTTTATTAAAAAAATTCAATATTTGTTTTATATTATATTTATATTATATAATAAAATTGCAGTACAGAACTGCGATACAGAATAAAAAAGTACAGAACTGCAGCTCCCACTCATTTCACAAAACCCACATTTAGGCTCCCACTGAACTTTTTGCTTGCCCACCCCTGATATAGATTATATTTTATTGCTTGGTTTTGAACTATCCCAGGATATGTTTAACTAATAATTTTCATCAATTTGTCCTTGGGCAGGTGCCAATGACACTTTCACATCATCACATAATTCCGTAAATAATGCTCAAAATTTAAAAACTTGTTATTCTTTATCTGTGTATAACAGTGAGGTATTCTATTAAAAAAATCAGCTTATTCTGTTTTCTCGATGCAGCACAAAAAGCATTAATTGTTACAAATTTAACAGTGTTGCTGAAGGAACCAAACTAAACAATGTTGCAACATAGCAAAGAAACCACCTCAACATACATTATATAATGTAAAACAGATAGATATATCTTATGCTTATTTTGCCTGTGTTTCTAGTTAATTCAAGACACTAATTGATGAAAGGTTCATTCAGCATGCAGTCGTTACAAACGAGAAGAGTGAAATAAGTAAACAAAAGACCATTTTTTATAATTAAATAAGCAAAAAGATATATATTTTATCTTAAAATAAAAATACTCTATTTACTCGAGTATAAGATGATCTCACATATAGGACGAGGTGTGACTTTAAAGATCAAAATAAAGAAAGTAATTATTAATACAGTTCTAATTTTATTTCATTTAATCACAAATAAAAATGTCAAATGAACTTAAATGAACACATTGTCCAGCAAAAATTATTAGCATCTTAAACTTTAAGGCAAAATCTTATAAAATCAATAACATAATTTGTTCGTGTAAAGCTGGACAATTGGAAACCTTTTTTGCCAATTCTTGACAGTCAAATCCACTCTCTGTCAATTACACTTATGAGTTTCTCCGAATTCTGATTTCAGAAAAATTACCTGTTTTCACATTGGAATGGATTACAACTTATATCAGGCTCCTGAGTGATTTTGAAGTAGCAATCTGAAATTCAATTCAAAAGCTTTGCTTTTCCTGTTGCTATTCATCTTTACTCCTAACAATACACAAGTACAATCGAAATGACCCAGATAAAATACTTTTGTTTTTAAACACCAGAGGGTGAGCATCTGGTAAAAAAATGTGAATATGTGGTTCACAAAAATTATTGCAAAAAAATCATTCGCTCACATGTATAGGACGACCTAGGTTTTTGAAGCAGTGAAAAATGAATAAAAACCTCGTCTTATATGAGAGTAAATATGGTAATTAATTTCTTAAACTTTGAGAATGCACTATTCCATTCTTTGATTTGTTAATTTGTATTAATACCTTGTAAGTTATATATGTAGTTTTTCCTGTTTTTTAATACTTTTTACAGTAATCTACACTGTGTGATTAGTTTGTTAATTTGTATTAATAAACATACCGATTTACTCTTGTGTGTAGTGTAGAGTCTCTGTAATCCGGCGGATGTCGGATTACAGAGACTCTATTGTATTTTTAANATATAATTTAAAATTATTTAATTCATAATTTATATTAAAAATAAGTAATGATTATATGAATTTAATATAAAACACATTACATAAGCAGATATATCACTTACCACATTGTTTCCAAAATAATCGGTAACTGAACAATCCGACTTCTGTTTAATTACTAAAAACTTTACTCTCTCTAACATGGATGGGCATATTTTTGATTTAACAGTCTGCATTAAAAGTGTCAATCCTAAAACAACAATTTTTACTTATAAAACAATATATTTTTCATGTTATCTTGATTTTGAAATAATTTTAATTATGATTAATTTCTACCTTTATCATTATCTACAGCTACATCAATATTTACTCCAGACTGTTCTAGTAAGCAATCAACCAATCCCATGTGACCTTTCAAATAAGCAACACTTAAAGGAGTCAGCTAGAGAAAGAAAAACAAATTGTTACTATTTTAAATTTTATTAAATGTAACCTACATAGGCTGTTTTTTTTCAAGTGGCCTGAACCATTTTTTATGTACCATCAGGATCCATTAAAACAAACAAAGACAAGTGTAAATTACAAAATGAATTTATTACCAAAAGTTAGGTACAAACATGGTTACTTTTTGACATAATCACCGTGAAGGTTGAGGAATTTGTCATATATGTGGACAAGTTTTCCATCCCCTTGTCATTGAACGTTGCCGGTTAATGAACTGAGATGGCCTTAATAACATTGTTTTGGAGATCGTCATTAGTTCATTAGTCTCGAACCTCTGTCCTCCTAGCCACTTTTCCTGTTCAGGAAAGTCAGGAGATGGAAGTCGCTTGGTGCTAAATTGGGGCTATAAGCTGGGTGTTTAATGGTGGTAAAGACTTCCACCTTTCAGACTCTCACTCAGCTTAAAACTTTTAAATGTGTGAAGATTTCCATCTCTTTCCTGAACTGAAAACGTGGCTAGCAGGACAGAGATTTGAGACTAATGAACTAATAACGATCTTCAAAATAATGTTATTAAGGCCATCTCAATTCACTGACGGCAACATTCTATGACAAGGGGATGGAAAAGCTCGTCCACAGATATGACAAATTCCTCATTCTTCACGGTGATTATGTCAAAAAGTAACCATGTTTGTACTTAACTTTCGATAATAAATTCAATTTGTTATTTACACCTTGTCTTTGTTTTATGGACCATCAGAGCTTGAAAAAACTGCCCTCATATATTAATTATTTTAAAGATATAATTCACAGGCAAAATGCACAGCCATACAATTTAATTTATTTAACTGTCTTTATTACATTCTAGAATAATACAAGACTACAAATGCTACTTGTTGCAGTAATGTGGAATTATTAATTTCATCTATAAAATTGTTGCAATTTTTTTATTCATAAATATAAAAAGATACAAAAAATAAATCTATATTCCTATAAAAATCAAACAAATTTTATAACACTTATTCTATTATAGTATTTAGCTTCAATGGAAAATATAATAGCTTAAGTTTTATCTATATTATTAGACTGAATAATTATAAAATTCAATTTTTCAAGTTATAAAAACCCCTGTTAAAAATATTAAAATAAATTATAAATTACTATAAATATTTTTAATATATATTTTTCATGTAATATATTTCAGTTTTCACTTATACATATCTCTTCAAAACAAAGAATGCTTACCTTCCAATCATTATATGAATTCGGACTGGCACCAGCTTCCAAGAGAAGGTCCAAACAAAAATACCAACCATAAGCTGCAGCATAATGGAGTAAAGTATTTCCTGAACTGTCTCTAAAATTGGGATCTGCACCGAGCCGTAATAAATATGATGCAATGTGCGCGTGTCCATTTATAATAGCATGAGTGAGAGCTGTTCGCTGCTTTTTATCTGATAATTAAAAAAGAAACATGCATTAACTCTAATTATTATTAAGTATTACTACTTTGTATCTAAATATAATCTTAAAAGAAAAATTTCAGTAAAGGAAAAAAGCTGCAAAAGAGTTTACGATTTAACATTAACTGTTCAGTTTTGCTTCACACCAAATCCATGATAAATATCTAATTAGCATATTACCTCATTATAAATGTTTTCATAATGAGATATATGCTACAAACTAATGAAGGAAATTTTTAATTATTGAAACTATAAACAAGTACCTTTCATTTCAATTAGTGAGCCTTTCTCAACAAGTTTTTTTACAATATCTAAATGACCCCACTGGGATGCGATCATCAAAGGAGTCAGTTTGTCATGTGCGGCACTAGTTGTTTTTTCTGTATCCGCTCCATATCTTAACAAAACATTCAGGACATTCTAAAGAAAATAAATCATAAACATAATTATCACACACAAAAAAAATTTTTTTTATAAGTTACTCACGACATGGCCGTTTTTTGCTGCCAAATGAAGAGGACAATATGTTTTCTTATTTGGCCGATCGATGCCGCCAAAGCCAAATTTTTCATGAGCAAATAATAGTGAATTTTCTTGATCCTTTTTGTTGTGAGCTAAATATAATGTCATAGAAAGAAATTTATTATTTAATATTTAAATTGAATATAAAAGTTTATCAATAATTCTTAAAATAAAGTTTATTCCATCAGCAACAATCAGTACAGTAAAAATCACATTGTAACTCTTACTGCCTCGATGTTCTGTTGGTTAGTTATCAAATGAAAATTTCAAATTCAAACTTTTTGTTTGATGACCATCTTTTGAAAATTGTTAATTCTGTAATTAATCTGTCACTAAATAAGAAAACCTCAAATCAAATCAAACAGTTAGCCTAAAAGTACTTTGTGTGTAAAATTTCACATGTTGGACATTAAAGTTGAGTTTCTTAATTTGTGACAGCAAAAAAATATAGTACTATTATTATTAAATTATTCTTTTCTGGCATGATTAAACTTTTATCGAGAATATAGTTTTTGGTTAATAAATTTAACCAGAAAGAAAGATGACAATGTCTAGCACTGCAAAACAGCTTTTTTTTTAATTATTATGTATTTATAAAATTACTTATAAAAAAAATTAAGTTTGTTTAAGAACATTAAATATTCTTAAAAAATATAAATCTAAAAATAAAATATCCTTAGAAAAATTAGCAAATAACATAAAACTCAAAATCTTTCAAAATCGGATAGAATGAGTTTTATATTATTTGCTAATTTTTCAAAGAATATTTTATTTTTAGATTTATAGTTTTTAAGAATTAATGCAACTGATCCCATTGCTTTTAAATTTTGTTTTTAATATATATTAATAAATATTGTATCAGTCAGATTTTATGAAATTACAAGGTATAAAAATAATTTTTAATGATACAGTAGCCACAATTATTATTTTTAAAAAAATTAAAAAAAAAAAGTTTTCATTAGGCTTAACATTGACAAAAATTCAACATGGCAGTCACATGCAATGGAAAAAAAAATTCAACATGGGATAGGTTAAAAACACTTAAAAAAATACAGGTAGGCTTCCCACAACGCTCGAGAACAGCCAGTCAAATGGTTTGACAACGTTTGACTGGCCTTATTTCAAGATCTGAGCTTGTTTCATTGAAAAGTTCCACTGCACTTCCAGTAGCTTTAGGTTTTAAAAAATCTGTCATTAGAGATTTTTTGCTCTTGCTTTGCAAATCTTTATAAATTTCTGGATAGGCAGAAAAGCAATTTTGAAGATTTCTTTTAAATATTTCTGCTCTCTCTGGTAGAGGATCTGCCAGATTAGAACTCTCTGGCAGAGTTCTCTAAAAAGTAAGATTTTCATCTGTTTTGCCATGTCCAAACATTTTTCTATATTTTTCAGTGTGAAGTTTTTGGTTTCTTCATAGAAAAGATCTTCAGAATTATCTTCAATCGGTAATGTTTCGGATATAACTGTCACCAAATCTGCTTTGTTTATTTTATTTTCCGTAACTAATTCTAGAATATCATCAACAGTTATTTCAGTGAATCCATTGCCTCCTCTTGCGTGTGAAAGGTTTACTATGTTATATTCATGCTGAACTGGCTCAACAACATTTTCCTGACTGACCATTTCTGGTAATAAAGCTTTCAAGGAAGCGTTTAGAATCGAGTGGCACATTTCTTTTAGGGACAAGCCAATAACTTCTACACAATTTACAATTAGAAATTGTTTCCAAACTTCACTGACTATAATATCTGTAGAATCTATTTTCTCCAAAATTAATTCAAATGATTTACAGATATGGTATGATTTAAAAGTTGCTATGATTCCTTGATCCAAGGGTTGCAATAGCAGAATGGTGTTGCATGATAAAAACGCAATCTCAACATTGGGATGATTTAAATCAATTGGATGAGGGGATGCATTATCTAAGATTAGTAGGATTTTGAATGCTAAGTTGTTCTTTTTTAAATAATTTTCTACATCGGGCACAAAATAATTATGGAACCAACCCTTAAGTAAATGGCCTGTCATCCATGCCTTTTTGTTGGCTCTCCAATACGCGGGAAGGTCGTTTTTGTTGCACTGTTTCATTGAGTGTGGCTTTAGTGCTCGATGAATGAGCATTGGCTTGGTAATAAAATCATTGGATGCATTACTACATAGAAGTAGAGTTATGCGATCTTTGGAAACTTTAAAGCCAGGAGCAGTTTTTTCATTTTTTGAGATATAGGTCCTGTTAGGCAATTTTTTCCCCATGAAAATCCTGTTTCATCAGCATTAAACACTTGATCAGCCAGATAACCCTTTGTTTGAATAATATCTGCTAGTTCTGCTAGATATTTTTTTGCTGCATCCTCATCCACAGAGGTCTTTTCCCCTTGTATGTGTATGTTGTGCAACGAATGGCGTTTTTTGAATTTTTTAAACCAGCCATTACTTGCCACTAATTTAACTCTGGTTTCATCAGCTGATGACTGTCCCATTTATTTTAAATAATCAAATATTTTTAAGGCTTTGTGTTTAATTGCACTTTTATTTAAAGGCAACCGTTTCTTGTTCATATCTTCTACCCATAATATTAGTGCTTTCCATATTTTCCATTATAAGTGCTCTCAGACGAGCAACATTTTTCGCAAGAACAGATGATCCAAATGCGACCAAATTCCTAAGCTTTTCTTCCGATTGCTTAATCGACCAAATAATTGACACATTTAAATTAAAATGCCTATCAATATCAGCTATCCACTCTTGATTTTTAATTTGATCCAAAATTTCTATCTTTTTTGAAGAGATATAAATTTCCTTTTTAATGATGGTCCTTTCTTTTTATTCAGGATTGTTATGGCTAAAATTTTTTCAACCAGTTTTGTGGCCAGTTAAAATTGCAAAAAATAACTTACCTTCACTATGCTGTTAAAAATATACACCCAATAAAAGTTTATACTGTATTTTGGACCATTTTTGCAGTCCCCCACCTATTGAAAGGGTATAAATGATCAAAAATTTAGTGAGATATTTGAGTGTTCATGGTAACTGATGCACATCTATCTAGAAACCAGTCTTCCCCTGAAACTTTCATGGGAATAACAAGCCAACTGTTCTCAAGGACATTTAGCTCTGTACACCAAACTGCGGCACGTGTCACATGATCCGTTTCAGTTTTTCTGTTATGTGAAAAGATAATTTGTTTCTAAATATCCTAAACCACGTTGTAAGAAAATTTCTGCATTTTTCCAACTCCGGTGGAGCAAAAACATGTTGTAAAGGTATTGCATTGTAGGAGGCCTACCTGTATATTAATTGTTATTTCTGCAATAAAACTGTAAAATAAATTTATTCTCAATTAAAAATTACTTATTTTAGCATAATATTTCTGGCTTACAATTAAATTGTTAGTAATTCCAACTTTAAGCTCAACAAAACTGTTTAGCAAGTAACAGAAAAATAGCTGCTGAGAATTAAAAGGAATTTTTAAAGACATTTTTATGTATTTTGCACCACAGTTTTATAAACAATATATTGATTTCTGACTTACTAGACTAACGTAACTGTTATTAATGTATAATTAATGCTTATATTTATTATGTCCAAGTAGGAATTTTCTTAAAAATGAGAATTAACTGATAAATATACAAAATTCATATGTTTTTGGCGTTTTCGTATTCCTTATATTTTAATATTGTAAAGATTCTTAAATCAGAAAAAGTTGAATAAGAAATTAAAAAAAGTGAACAGTGTAATTGCTTATTATTTTCTGTTTGCATATGTATATAATTAACTTTAAAAATAATAATAATAATAATAATAATAATGCTATTTTATTTAAACTCCTTATGTAATATTTAATATATATTATTACCTGTACTGACTCACCTGTAGAAGAATGGACTAAAAGCAATTCAACATTCTGCGGGCGACCTACCATACAGGCTACATGTAGAGGTGTATTACCATAATTGTCTGTAATATCTTCTGGTTGCACCCCTCTTAATTTAATAAAATGTCAAAAATTTATTATTATTATATTTAATTAATAATAAACATTACAATGTAGTTTTACCTTGATAACAAAAGTTCAAGTGTTGCAGTAGTTTTACAAGCAGCAGCATAATGAATCGTCTGCCAACCACTTTTATCGGGAAGATTATAAAAAGGGTATAAAGACAACAACGTGGCTAAATATTTAGGATTAGGATTAATAGCAGCACAATGTAAAGGAGTAATCTGTAATAACAGAAACAATAAGAATTAACAAAAATATTTATAATAAATAATTAAATCAAATAAATTTAATCATCATAGAAAACTGTTGAAATATTAAATTTAGTAAGTCATTTAAGACAGAATTAAGTAGAGTAGACCTTCAATTTAACAAACTTTGAATTTAACAGATAAAAAAATTTCTATCCTAAAAGAAAAATTTAGAACCTTGTTTTTGTTATTTGCAGCTAGTGCATGCTAAAAGATGAGTCAATGAGTATAAATTATTCAATGTAAATCATAATATTTTACCATACTCTTGACAATAGTGGATGCCTTCCCCCAATTATTCCATTAAATCAAAAGCCTACTATGTATTACAAATGTTATATACTATTCTACAATCTTGATTTTAGTATCATATATAACACAAATATTATATATGATACTACATCATTTTACCTTAGGTTTAAATTTAATAATAGTGATCTATATTAAATTCTTGCTAATAAAATTTATACAATGGAGTTTATATGACTGCTTACCCTTGGATGGTTATGTGCTTTTTTTATGACAGACTTTGGTCTTATTTTGGGTAATTCTTGCTTATCGTTTAATAAAACCTAAAAATAAATTTTCATAAGAAATGAAATAATATAATGACAGTATAAATAATATTCCTATAATATAATTTGTTTTCACAACTAATAATCATTTTTATCATAAAGAAATAGACAATTACTTTTTGAATTAACCAAAATTTTAATTTTATGCCAAACATATTTAGTTAATAACAATATTTCAACTTATTCCCATTAATATAATTAAGTACAGCCTTAGAATAAAACAAAAGTCAGAAGTCAAAATCATTCATAATTCAAATTCAATAACTCCAACTAAGAAAAATTCACATGAATGTATTTTATTTTGGCTAAATTTTTGATAACCAAACAATTATCCTAAGTGCTTTTATTATTCAGTATACTATTTCCACAATAGCATTAATTAAATACAAACAGTAATTTTTAAATTGCAAATCAATTTTAGAACCATTAAAGAAATTACATCAATTTCTCAAAAATCTATTTTATAACCAATTTGTTTAAACATTAATCCAGAGTTTCAAATTTTAACAGGGTTAAAAATAAATAATACATATTTATTTACAACTGTAAAAAAGTTCAGTGTATGTAGTTGACCTTACTTTATTATATTTTAAAATACCAAAATCTCATTAACTGAAAATTTAACTGAATTTACATTGTTTTATGACTCATGCAATTACTGTTATAAATTCAAAAATAATTTGTGATATGTTGTAATATAATAATTGTATATATAACGTAAAAAAAGAAAATATACAACCTGTTGGTGAATATCAGAATAGCCATAACCACCGAAATCTATTGCTTCTTTTACTAGTTGTCCAGCTAGCTTATGATGGCCATTTTTAACTGCTTCTGGAATTAATCTTAATACTGTATCTTTCTGCAAAAATAAATAGCCATTTAAATAAAATAATACATATAACATAAATTTATGTTAATTACATAAAATAATCAAATAATGTATGTTCACTAACTAGAATGCTTTTATTCTTTAATACAAATCTTATAAATCTGCATATTTTCATTCTAATTGATAACTATTTCCAAAAACCAATCACTGTAATATGGAAAGTCAGATATTGACAATAAAATCTAAAGCAATTCAGAAAATAAAATATGTCAAAAATTAAGGTTTTTCAAACTTAGGATCAATCTCAGCTTAATAATAGAATATTAAAACATGGCATTTAAATTTAAAATAGTATATTCTGTACGAAAAATTTATCATATAAAATATGTGAATTTAAATTCATATATTGTCTTTGTATTCAAAAGTTTAATAAATCCCAGTAGACTGAAAGTCTTTGTTTTATATATAACAACTGTTTGTTTTAATCTTTCAAATTAATATTTATAATCATCTTTAATAAGAAATTATTATTATTAAAACATAAAAATTCAATAAATATCTACAAATAATTAATAAATTTTTGTGACATGATAATTAAACATAACCAAACAAAATGATCTTTACATAACTAAAAGTTTGAGCAGGAAAAATTAAATCCAAAATAGAAACACTAAAATCAAAACTTTCATGAAAATTTGATAGAAAAATCAACTACTTCTTTAATACAAATAGACATTCTTTCTAGACACAATTTAGGTTATACTCCTACCTATTCCTAATTTAATTATAAATTTCATGATCACCACAGGTCACTATTTAAATTGTCATCAAACCTGTTGGTATATGATATGAAATATAAGCACAAATAAATTCTATATAAATTTACAAAATTTTAAAAAATAACAATACATAAAAGTGTCTTCTAACTTTGTCCATTTGCACACACATGGAAAAATTAACAGTTCCATGGCAATGTCTACCTTTCATTCAATGCTACTTGTGTACGTATTGACAGTTATTTTAACTTAATTTGTACAGTCTGAAAAGTGCTAGGGCTGAAATATATTAAAACTTAAAGCAAATACAGTTTCAAAATTCTACAGCTGACTATTTAGTTTTCTTTGGCTGAATGAATCTTTATGAAGTGAAAAATTTGAATTTTTAAATTTGTGTATAAAATCTAATGAAAGTATATTTGTAATTAAAAAAAATTCTGCATTTCTTTATAATTTTCCCACATTACAATTTTATTAAAAATATAACCCATATTTTAATACAGAGGTTGGACAAAAATATGGAAACAACAAAAAAAAACCTATTACTAAACCTTTTTACAAATTAAAAGACAAAGTCGTTCTAAAAATATATATTTCAGACGATTACCATTTTTACAAAGTGTTCTAGAACAAAGTACAGACAGCTGGACCTTCCTTTTTAGGCTACACAACTGCCTATATTTTAAAAAGTTCCTTAAAAACACATAAAAAACCAATAAATTATTAAGAAAAAATCTTCTTTTAAAATTGGAATGGTAAATCTTACGACGTCTTGTTACTTCATCTTTGTCCGTTGGGTTTCTGGCTCTTTATCTACTGAAGATTAGCGCTGACAAATGTAGATTATGCCGATATCCCTCTGGTGACGAATTTTAGCGATATATTTGAATTTCCGTCAGATGAATAAATTACTTTTTACAAATTAAAAGACAAAATCGTTCTAAAAATATATATTTCAGACGATTACCATTTTTACAAAGTGTTCTAGAACAAAGTACTAAATACTAAACCTTAATACGGTGTAGGAAAACTGTTGGCATTCAAAACAACTTGCAGTCTTCTTGGAATGGATAAATACAGGTCCTATATAATTTTCAAGGGAACCTTGTACCATTCCTCCTGCAAAATAGTGGCAAGTTCAGGTAACAATGAAGAAGTTGGATAGCGATCACGCACCTGTCTCTCCATAGTAAACCACAAAGGCTCAATAATATTGATGTCTAGTGACTGTGGTTGCCAAAGAAGATGCAACAAATCACCCTCGTGCTCACAAAACCAGTCTTAGACGATGTGAGCTGTGTGAACAGGCACCCTCTTGTCTTCGAACACAGCATCACCATTGGGGAACAAACATTACACCATATGATGGACACAATCGCCCAAAATGGTTACAAAATCTTTGGCAGTAATGTAACCTTGCAGAGTAATCATGGGGCCCATGGAATACCATAATATGTCTCCCCAAATCATCACCGAATCCCCGCCATGTTTCACTCTTGGCAACAAGTAGTCTGCATCATAAGCTTGGGTTGGCATTTACCAGATGTAAACTCAACCACAGGTTGGAAACAGTGTAAAACAAGACTCATCCAACCAAATGACTCTTTTCCATTGCTCCATAGTCCGGGTTTTATGGCTTTGGCACCACATTTTCCTCTTATGGGCATTTGCATCACTGATTAATAGTTTTGGAATTGCAGCTCGCCCTGAAATTCCCTGCTTATGGAGCTCCCTTCGAAGTGTTTTGGTACTGACAGGGTTTGTGAGCTCCATATTCAGTTAGACAGTGACTTTTTCAGCTGTAGTCTTCTTATTTTTTGTCACATTCCTCTTCAATGACAGTCTGTCACGATCACTCAATACACACTTTCATCCATGTTGTTACTTAGCAGATGATGTTTGTCTGCTTGTTCTGTATGCAGTATAAATCTTTTGATACGGTGCCTCTTGACACACCAAACACTTCAGCCATCTTGGTTATGGAAGCACCCACCATGAGCACCAACAATTTACTCACGTTCGAATTCACTTTGTTCGAATTGACATTGTGCACTCCCACTTACACAAAACACAATTCCAACAATGACTGACACGTGCAACATATTGAGGAGATTGCAGAGGTGTCATTAGTAGTCAAATACAACAGCGCAACCTAGAGGTTTGGCTAGGATCAACAGTTACGTTCAACTATGCATTTCACAAGGGGTTTCCATATTTTTGTCCAACCCCTGTAGAACTAATTGATAAGTAACTATTTAAACATTTTTTAAGACACGATTTCCATATATATTGTTGATATAGCTGGTATATCAGTTATTTGTTAGTATTTGAACTACTATTTAATTACTAAAAATGGGAAAAGTAATATAACTAGAAATTTTTTTGAACAAATTTCAAATTAAATAAGCTTAAGCATATTAATACATACCATATCTTTTTCGAAAAAGCGAATTGTTTCTATTGAAACACCTCTACGAAGAGCAAGTTTAATTAAAGATTCGTCCAGATACGGTTTATGAGAATCATACACATAAGTGTCCTAGAAAGACATTAACTTTATTAAATTTCTGATTTAAATAAAAATCAAAACAAAGTATGAACCTATTTTAATTTATAAGAGAAATTATAACTCAAATATATCTTAATAAAAAAACTGGTTCAGTATGAGATAAATTTATATATTGATGAGTTGATGTAACAGTATTTTGCTAACAATGCAAATAAAATTATCACACTAATATCAGAAGACAATATTTCAAATTGTTTAGTTACATTTTTCCATGTATCTGTACATCAAATTCTTATTATTAAACAAACAGGATGTTCCAGAAAGTGAAAATATTTGTACCACTCTTTATACAATTATATATACAGGTATTTATTTCTAGCTAACATTAACTGTTTAATGTTTTAAAGTTTTTTATTTTTGTATTAATATTCTCTAAGATTTATATATTAAATAAAAATAATAAATAACTTTTTAATACAATATACAAATTTTATAATAAAAAATAACAAAAATTACAAGCACTTTTAAAAAATCAATTTATCAAGTTCTAGTATAAATAAAACAATTCAAAATCTTAATAATAATAATAGTTCTAAATATTCTTCTAAAATTGTAATTTGTAAAAATTTTTGAACAAATTTTCTGTTCCATTTTCCTGCAGAGGATAGGTCAATCTACTTTTTTTTTGTTTTCCCATTATTATATTTATTCATGTATACCATTAAATTTAACACACAAAGATAGTTATTACTCATTATTGCATACTATTTTGTAAATTATATATTAGTATACTAATTACTGTATTTTGTAACACAATGAAAAAAAAATGTATAATTTCAAATAAAAATTCTCTTATTATCAATGCAATTATAATCAAATTAATCCATCATAAAATCTTTATTATTGTATTATGTTTTATTTCAGATGATCCTTTATCAGAAAGAATTATTAAATCAAAGTTCATTCTACTAAAAATATAAAATTTGCATTTCAGTTTTAAATCATTATTTTAAAAAAGTTACACCTTTATTACACCTAATATAGCAATTCCAAATACTAACTTTTAAAAATGCATTGTTCCCTTCTCGTCCTCCACGACTTATGGAAATAGATCTAATCGAAAAACCCAGCATTGCTTGATTATACCTATAAAGTTGTTTAAAATAAATAAAAATTTAAAGGAAATGTAATTTACATAAACTTCATATATATTACTAACAAGGAGAGCTTACGGCTTTGGGTTAATGGATTTTGATGATCTTTGGTGTAGAGGTAGTACACGATGTTAGTGTACTATCTGTAAAATACTAAAGTGCAATACTCAAATATAATCGAGAAAATCAAACTTAAAGTTTTGTTAGCACTTTATATATAAATTATACGTACTTCTATTCGAGCGTCCTGTGGCAGAGTGGTAACGAGTCTGATTCATAAGCTTGAGTTCTCGGGTTCGATTCTCGCGTATAATTTTTTTTTTAATTCATAAATACTTATAATGTATTTATTTATTTACTCATTCATTTATTTCTTATTATTTATTTATTTTAATTTAATTTCTACTATTCCAAGTCTAATATTTTTATACTTTTGTTGACAATAACGGCGCATTCTTGACACCTATGTGTCAACTTTCCCATCTAATTGTTATCACTAACGGTGACCGATCTAATTCTCACTAGGAGCGTTTTTTCTATCGGAGTTCTTTTTCACTCACTCTTTAACAGTTCGTTTCTAAATTTCGACACGAATAGACGTATTTGTGTAGTAAAACTTATTTTGAAAAATTATTTTATAATCAAAAAATGTCGTCAAGAGAAGCAAGTTCTTCACGTTGTGACGAAAAAACTGTTGATGATAACTCTTTATACAGTGATGTAAAATACTAACTTGTAAAGTGCAAAACTCAAATATAACCAAGAAAAACGAATATAATTTATTGAAGCAATATTATATAATTACATATCATTGTCAGATGTACATGATCGTGAATGATACTTATGATAAAAACATTCAAAACAAAAATTCTGTCTACACCAAGAACAACAAATAAATGCTGCTTTTTTAAAAGGTATCATCAACAGTTTTTTCGTCACAACGTGAAGAACTTGCTTCTCTTGACGACATTTTTCGATTATAAAATAATTTTTCAAAATAAGTTTTACTACACAAATACGTCTATTCGTGTCGAAATTTAGAAACGAACTGTTAAAGAGTGAGTGAAAAAGAACTCCGATAGAAAAAACGCTCCTAGTGAGAATTAGATCGGTCACCGTTAGTGATAACAATTAGATGGGAAAGTTGACACATAGGTGTCAAGAATGCGCCGTTATTGTCAACAAAAGTATAAAAATATTAGACTTGGAATAGTAGAAATTAAATTAAAATAAATAAATAATAAGAAATAAATGAATGAGTAAATAAATAAATACATTATAAGTATTTATGAATTAAAAAAAAAATTATACGCGAGAATCGAACCCGAGAACTCAAGCTTATGAATCAGACTCGTTACCACTCTGCCACAGGACGCTCGAATAGAAGTACGTATAATTTATATATAAAGTGCTAACAAAACTTTAAGTTCGATTTTCTCAATTATATTTGAGTATTGCACTTTAGTATTTTACAGATAGTACACTAACATCGTGTACTACCTCTACACCAAAGATCATCAAAATCAGTTACCCCAAAGCCGTAGGCTCTCCTTGTAAGATAATTAGTATAGTATTCAATAAATATCCAATTAAAAATTATTGAAAACCAATAATCAGTTTTCAATAATTTGTAATATGTTTGGTCAATTGGACATTTGCAAATGATCAAACATTTGATTTCATCTCATCAAATAGTCTAATTGATATATAAGCTATAAGCACAGCAGCAACAATACAGAGGTACAATAATAATAATAATAATAAAAATCACAAAAAACTTAAAAATAAAAGCTAGTCACCTTTATTACTGTAAAAATCTAAACAATAAAGATAAAAATAATTTTATTTCCAACATTTTTGTGGTATTTTTAGTTGTTATTATCCATTCATAATGCCAATATTGTGCTAATAGCTTATACAGGTAACCCCATATAACACGGGAGTTATGTTCCAAAAAATTGCCGTGTTATACGAAACAAAGAACTAGTACAAAAAGGGGGTTAGGTTCCAAGAATTAAAAAACATGCTATTTTGTTTTCATAATTAAGATAAATATCTTTTTTTTTTTAAAGAAGTGTTCAACACTAGATTGTGTTTTTAAACAAATGAATAATAAACTATTGTTATAGAAACGGCGAACACCACCGAAAAAAGTCAACTAAATAAAAGGTGGAGAATAAGCCATGTGATTGTTCTAAAAACACAATCTAGTGTTCAACACTTCTAAAGAAAATATTACAACACGGTTTCACAACAAATGAACAATAAATATCTTTATTAAAATTTTCTTAAGAAGAGATACATATTAATATAAATGTGGTCAGAGGTGCAGTTTAATGCCTAAAAACTGGTGACGGAATAAAGAATGTATGAAATAAGGGAAAAACATCTGGCAACACAAAAGCAGAAGTGTTGAGATCTGGCAACACTGAAACAAGTTTCGGGAAGGACCAAGTGTATTGACAGAAGGTGGGAAAAGAATATTTACATACTTAAGTACTAATAATTCACGAAAATTATGCAGGAAAATCAGATAGTACATACATGCTTGAATGAAAAATGTCAAATGAGGTATCTTTCACACTTAAAAGCTTTATCATGTTTACTGAACTGTTGTACAGGGATTTCCCTAATTTCAAATTAGATAAAGTTCACTTTTAATAGATTTTACTACATTTCATGCTGTACGAGGGTTTTACCCAATTCTCGAACCATGTTAGAGTGAATCCATGCTATAAAAGTGCCATGTTATATGGGGGTTACCTATATATATATATCAGTGATGGACATAACTGGGATTATGAGAAAACAGTTTCAGGGTTTTAAATCTTGTTATTTAAATTATAAAATCAATATCATCTGTTCAAAAAATGTTGTTTATGTAACTTTACCATTATGAAAAAAATCAATCAAGATAAAACACTGTTACTAACTAAGAATTTTAAGTTTCATTCCCAATAATACTTTCATCCCAGATAAATCATTATAGTTAATTATGGTTGTAATTTAAATACTTACTCTCCAGTATCCATATGTTCAAGTAGATTATCTGGAACTGGGGCATATTTTCTCACTTGTGCATTTAAAAGAGCTTTTATCACCCTGAGATCATCATTAATAATAGCGTACGTCAGAGAAGTATAAGGAACATCGACACTTCTTGGTACCGAAAGCTAAATAGATAATTTATATAATATTACATCACAAAGAAATATAGATTGAATAATTAAACATCTGTTGAAAATAAAACATTATTTCTATTTTTATACATTATATACAAAAAAAATAAAAAATGATGCTTTGATGACCAATTTAAAATCAATCATCTTTAACAATAAAAAAATTAAATTAAATTTTTCATTGTTGTTAAAGATTTAAATTTTCCTAATCAGTGATCAGTTTGTCTATTTATTAATTAAAGCAAATAATTTTAATATTTCAGTAGAATAACAATAAAAATCAGTTCTCCTCATTATATTCACTTAATCACTAACTAAATATAATTAATTTTCAATATAAATAAGAACTTAAATTTAGCTATTTATAACTTCTCTAAATACAGTGGAAATGATACAGCATTTTAATTTGATATAACTAAATATAGTTTAAAATTCTCTATACTTTTAATTCCTTTAAACTTTTCCAATTTGAACTTCTCAGCAATTTATTAATCAAGTATAAAAGTAAACAAGTAAAATGGCAAGCCTGTATTTGGGACAAGATTATGTCTCGGAGACGCACTACTAAACACAATCACTTTGACGCTCAGGAGGGTCTCGTTCTCATTCTCCAAAATTCTTTGGTATCGCTGGTTTTGAGTATGATCTTTCAAACTTCACCAGCCATGACCATGAGGTTGTCCACGATGTATTTTCAGTGAAATTAACCTATCCAATTTCGAAATTTCACAACATTTCATGTTGCACTGAGTTGAATTTTTATCGATGCCTAATGAAAATTTCCCATTTTTGAAAAAAATAATCCTGGCTAGCATATTGTCCAAAATTATTTTTTATTTTGGCACAAACAATATATATATATATTAATTATTAATAAATGTAGACAAAAACAAATTATATTTCGGAAGTTAGTTTTAATATAAAATTATGATGACTAGTGCCATCTACTTCGAAAAAAGGTTCCGATGCTGAAGCGAGATATCTCGGGTCAACGGTCAANATTAAATTTCTGATTTAAATAAAAATCAAAACAAAGTATGAACCTATTTTAATTTATAAGAGAAATTATAACTCAAATATATCTTAATAAAAAAACTGGTTCAGTATGAGATAAATTTATATATTGATGAGTTGATGTAACAGTATTTTGCTAACAATGCTAAAACATAAAAATTCAATAAATATCTACAAATAATTAATAAATTTTTGTGACATGATAATTAAACATAACCAAACAAAATGATCTTTACATAACTAAAAGTTTGAGCAGGAAAAATTAAATCCAAAATAGAAACACTAAAATCAAAACTTTCATGAAAATTTGATAGAAAAATCAACTACTTCTTTAATACAAATAGACATTCTTTCTAGACACAATTTAGGTTATACTCCTACCTATTCCTAATTTAATTATAAATTTCATGATCACCACAGGTCACTATTTAAATTGTCATCAAACCTGTTGGTATATGATATGAAATATAAGCACAAATAAATTCTATATAAATTTACAAAATTTTAAAAAATAACAATACATAAAAGTGTCTTCTAACTTTGTCCATTTGCACACACATGGAAAAATTAACAGTTCCATGGCAATGTCTACCTTTCATTCAATGCTACTTGTGTACGTATTGACAGTTATTTTAACTTAATTTGTACAGTCTGAAAAGTGCTAGGGCTGAAATATATTAAAACTTAAAGCAAATACAGTTTCAAAATTCTACAGCTGACTATTTAGTTTTCTTTGGCTGAATGAATCTTTATGAAGTGAAAAATTTGAATTTTTAAATTTGTGTATAAAATCTAATGAAAGTATATTTGTAATTAAAAAAAATTCTGCATTTCTTTATAATTTTCCCACATTACAATTTTATTAAAAATATAACCCATATTTTAATACAGAGGTTGGACAAAAATATGGAAACAACAAAAAAAAACCTATTACTAAACCTTTTTACAAATTAAAAGACAAAGTCGTTCTAAAAATATATATTTCAGACGATTACCATTTTTACAAAGTGTTCTAGAACAAAGTACAGACAGCTGGACCTTCCTTTTTAGGCTACACAACTGCCTATATTTTAAAAAGTTCCTTAAAAACACATAAAAAACCAATAAATTATTAAGAAAAAATCTTCTTTTAAAATTGGAATGGTAAATCTTACGACGTCTTGTTACTTCATCATTGTCCGTTAGGTTTCTGGCTCTTTATCTACTGAAGATTAGCGCTGACAAATGTAGATTATGCCGATATCCCTCTGGTGACGAATTTTAGCGATATATTTGAATTTCCGTCAGATGAATAAATTACTTTTTACAAATTAAAAGACAAAATCGTTCTAAAAATATATATTTCAGACGATTACCATTTTTACAAAGTGTTCTAGAACAAAGTACTAAATACTAAACCTTAATACGGTGTAGGAAAACTGTTGGCATTCAAAACAACTTGCAGTCTTCTTGGAATGGATAAATACAGGTCCTATATAATTTTCAAGGGAACCTTGTACCATTCCTCCTGCAAAATAGTGGCAAGTTCAGGTAACAATGAAGAAGTTGGATAGCGATCACGCACCTGTCTCTCCATAGTAAACCACAAAGGCTCAATAATATTGATGTCTAGTGACTGTGGTTGCCAAAGAAGATGCAACAAATCACCCTCGTGCTCACAAAACCAGTCTTAGACGATGTGAGCTGTGTGAACAGGCACCCTCTTGTCTTCGAACACAGCATCACCATTGGGGAACAAACATTACACCATATGATGGACACAATCGCCCAAAATGGTTACAAAATCTTTGGCAGTAATGTAACCTTGCAGAGTAATCATGGGGCCCATGGAATACCATAATATGTCTCCCCAAATCATCACCGAATCCCCGCCATGTTTCACTCTTGGCAACAAGTAGTCTGCATCATAAGCTTGGGTTGGCATTTACCAGATGTAAACTCAACCACAGGTTGGAAACAGTGTAAAACAAGACTCATCCAACCAAATGACTCTTTTCCATTGCTCCATAGTCTGGGTTTTATGGCTTTGGCACCACATTTTCCTCTTATGGGCATTTGCATCACTGATTAATAGTTTTGGAATTGCAGCTCGCCCTGAAATTCCCTGCTTATGGAGCTCCCTTCGAAGTGTTTTGGTACTGACAGGGTTTGTGAGCTCCATATTCAGTTAGACAGTGACTTTTTCAGCTGTAGTCTTCTTATTTTTTGTCACATTCCTCTTCAATGACAGTCTGTCACGATCACTCAATACACACTTTCATCCATGTTGTTACTTAGCAGATGATGTTTGTCTGCTTGTTCTGTATGCAGTATAAATCTTTTGATACGGTGCCTCTTGACACACCAAACACTTCAGCCATCTTGGTTATGGAAGCACCCACCATGAGCACCAACAATTTACTCACGTTCGAATTCACTTTGTTCGAATTGACATTGTGCACTCCCACTTACACAAAACACAATTCCAACAATGACTGACACGTGCAACATATTGAGGAGATTGCAGAGGTGTCATTAGTAGTCAAATACAACAGCGCAACCTAGAGGTTTGGCTAGGATCAACAGTTACGTTCAACTATGCATTTCACAAGGGGTTTCCATATTTTTGTCCAACCCCTGTAGAACTAATTGATAAGTAACTATTTAAACATTTTTTAAGACACGATTTCCATATATATTGTTGATATAGCTGGTATATCAGTTATTTGTTAGTATTTGAACTACTATTTAATTACTAAAAATGGGAAAAGTAATATAACTAGAAATTTTTTTGAACAAATTTCAAATTAAATAAGCTTAAGCATATTAATACATACCATATCTTTTTCGAAAAAGCGAATTGTTTCTATTGAAACACCTCTACGAAGAGCAAGTTTAATTAAAGATTCGTCCAGATATGGTTTATGAGAATCATACACATAAGTGTCCTAGAAAGACATTAACTTTATTAAATTTCTGATTTAAATAAAAATCAAAACAAAGTATGAACCTATTTTAATTTATAAGAGAAATTATAACTCAAATATATCTTAATAAAAAAACTGGTTCAGTATGAGATAAATTTATATATTGATGAGTTGATGTAACAGTATTTTGCTAACAATGCAAATAAAATTATCACACTAATATCAGAAGACAATATTTCAAATTGTTTAGTTACATTTTTCCATGTATCTGTACATCAAATTCTTATTATTAAACAAACAGGATGTTCCAGAAAGTGAAAATATTTGTACCACTCTTTATACAATTATATATACAGGTATTTATTTCTAGCTAACATTAACTGTTTAATGTTTTAAAGTTTTTTATTTTTGTATTAATATTCTCTAAGATTTATATATTAAATAAAAATAATAAATAACTTTTTAATACAATATACAAATTTTATAATAAAAAATAACAAAAATTACAAGCACTTTTAAAAAATCAATTTATCAAGTTCTAGTATAAATAAAACAATTCAAAATCTTAATAATAATAATAGTTCTAAATATTCTTCTAAAATTGTAATTTGTAAAAATTTTTGAACAAATTTTCTGTTCCATTTTCCTGCAGAGGATAGGTCAATCTACTTTTTTTTTGTTTTCCCATTATTATATTTATTCATGTATACCATTAAATTTAACACACAAAGATAGTTATTACTCATTATTGCATACTATTTTGTAAATTATATATTAGTATACTAATTACTGTATTTTGTAACACAATGAAAAAAAAATGTATAATTTCAAATAAAAATTCTCTTATTATCAATGCAATTATAATCAAATTAATCCATCATAAAATCTTTATTATTGTATTATGTTTTATTTCAGATGATCCTTTATCAGAAAGAATTATTAAATCAAAGTTCATTCTACTAAAAATATAAAATTTGCATTTCAGTTTTAAATCATTATTTTAAAAAAGTTACACCTTTATTACACCTAATATAGCAATTCCAAATACTAACTTTTAAAAATGCATTGTTCCCT